TCTCACTTCGAGACACGTTCAAGTGGAATGTATTGCACACATTAAGGATAATATCACCCATTCCCTTTATTACTAATTATTTTAAATACGATACTTTCAATATTTAACATTGAATAAAAAAACATGCAGTATGCTTACAATGAAAATTAATAAGACAATATCACAATAAAATCGCGGGAAACCTTGCCGCAAACCGTATTTATCTGGAATTCCTCTATTAACTCGGGTTTTCATGGTTTCTTTTACTTCAGTTTGTAAAATATGTCAATGTCAATAAGACGTATTTGCCATTAGAGAAATAGAGATTTTATAAATATTTTTGAGATAAAATATTACAAGTAGAGCTATTAAGTTTTCAAGCAGATAAGGTAAAGAAACTCAATGATTTTGCATAAATCACAATACTGTTTTAATTATTTAAATACCTAGGAGGAAAATCCAATTACTTATATTTTACAATAAACTGATTACGCATTGAAAATATGCAAAACACACATCAACTGATTTGCTACAAACTATACGGGCATGCTGGTCATATATATTACAGATCAGGTGAATTTGTTATAGGTTTTACCCATGATACATCTAGTTTTGATGATTTTTAAACTGTTGTAGCATTTCGTAGAAAATCACTCTAGTTTACGTATGAAACAACTGTAGCATCAATAATACATAAAAACACGTGATTTCAGATGACGCAACTTTCAAAACAGAGAATTTATCATCTACATGAAAAACATTTAAACTATACAAATGTATAATTTCCAATGTCAATATAAATAATTGCGTCCTTGCCATTCTCTTTTAATGTTAAAAAAAAACTAAAATGATTTTTTTTAATAAAGACAGATCATTCAAAGGGCATCACAGATGTTTTATTAAATTGCATGTTTAGCTGACAATGATTCTTAAGATGAATTAACTTCTTATCTAGGTATTGAAATGTTTTATGGTGTATATAAAATTATAAAATGTTTCAGTTAATATGCAGATGGCATGTATTTATATCAAGATTTCTTTAATTTACACAAAAATGATGCATACAAACAATCAGATTTTGATCCGGAAGAAAATTGCTCAGATGAAAATTGCTAAAAAACTTTCACGATTTTCTTAGTATTCTTCAAACACGAATAATTCATAAACATATGGTATGCACATCATGTTTAAACTGTATTAAAGTGTTTCAAAATTTACAGATTAGAACACAGCTTTTTATCATACATTGACCAATAGAAATATATACAATACATGTTCAATATAAATTAATAATGACTTATTAACTAACTTTAAATTCATTATCATTTTAAAAGTTTATATTGTTCTGTTCCGGTAACCCATAACAAGACTGAAAATTGTTGGCACATGTAGTCAACTGTGACATGTGTTGGATCATGTAAATGTCATTAAATGTTTGCACAACGCAAGGGAAATAGAAGTCGTATATTTTCATACAATGGAAAACCGTTTTCATGTAGTTTCGTTTCATATTTCCGAAGGACATTAAGTTCTATGTTATTTCATCAAATTCCCCTTTTTAAGGTTTTTGTCTAAATTAAAGTTTTTACTTGTTTAATTGTACATTGGACATTTTTTCATTTTAGTTAAGGACTAATGTACTGTCAGAATTGTTAATGGTTGTTGTCACGGGATTTGTGCATGATCATTGCATGCGAAGCTTTAATTACATGGTACTTTGTCAATTGCTTCATTTTATTATAGTTGGTTTTGATATGTCGATGCGCGTCAACAATGTTGACTTTATCTTATTTCTTTTAAAATTAATTATTTTTATTTCTCTCCCTCAAAATATTGTATCTGATACATTTTACTTAATTTTGCTGTTTAAGGACATAAATCCTATAAATTACCATGTGTTCTTGTGACTCAGTTGATCATTTCTTTTCAGTTCATTAATAATGCATTAAAAGAAATGAAATAGATAAATATAATAAGACGGAAAATTGTTGTTTATAATATACAAGAAAGTTATAATTCAAAAATTCATACAACATAACATAATAGGTAGTTTATGCACTTAAACAAATTAGTAATAATACATACAATGCCAAAATAACATAACATAGTTTTAGACTTGCAGAGTAACAAAATAGACATTAAAGTATCTAACTAATCTAACATGCTTCTAAAGCAAACAATCACTAAAAATGGTCAGATGCAAGAATGGTGGTCTTTGGTCTTTGACCCCCCCCCCAAAAAAAAAATATAATAATAATAATAATATGGATGGTATGTTCATTAAAAAACGAATGCCATAAATCGCTCTGCTTATATAAAGTTACATGCAAAGGGCCAATTAGAACTGTACATTCCTAGTAATTAGAGTAAAAATTGTTATTTTGTCTGGATTTTAATCCACTAACATACCAGTAATCTTACACATTACGTGATATGATAACATTAGATATATCTTGTTACATCTTTATTATCTCAACAATAGGCCAACTCCAGAATTAAGAATAGTTGGGGTTTTCATAGCTAAACAAACAAAAAACTTTAACAGTGACAGCTTCAAAAAATAAGCGCAACTGGTTGACTTATCTAACGTGACGGGTATCGCACCGTGAAGCTATAATGGTAAAAGTTTGTTTGTACCTACGGATTAGCTCGGAAAAATCCTTATTTGCCGACTTCCGAATAACAACTATTAAAAATATATTATAAAGCCACCAATGCTACCCTAAAACAAAAGTCCATTTCTATATAAAACTCGTACATTTCCATTTGTCTCTTCCAAGTCATCTGAAATACTACCAATTTATAAGTGTCGACATTTACAATCAATATTGCATTGATGTCAATATACACCTCAATCAGATTGATATGCAAACAAATATGTATTGAGTACGTTCATGTGAAAGTTGCTACTTTGTTCTGTAACCAAAATAACTGAATGCTTCAAAACATATTTCTATATTTTCCTGACTTAAAACTTTCAGAATATTGAAATAAAAGTAAAAAAATAATATCCTGTAAGAAAACAAAGTTCAGATGTAATGCTCACTCCCCACTGATAATATCTGATAAATTAAATACTGATTTCCATTGATAAAACAGACAATAAACTGAAAACAATATACTAGTATTACAATGAAGACAAATGTGCGTTTCTGAAAATACACTTGTAATCCCTAATTACAGAATATAAATACTTAAGACACCTATTTATTATAAAAACTTAACCTTTGTACCAGAATCTATCTGCGAGAAAGAAAAGAAGAATAACCTTTGATAAATTTTATAGTTTGATATAATATCACAATAACAAGAAGCTTTATAATATCATGTATCTAATACAAACAAATTGACATTTGTACGATTTCATATCATTCCAAGACATTATTCCTGGTGTCAGAAAAGTGAAATATGTCAACGTCAGGTAAAGAAGATTTTTACACTTACATGACCTGTATCAATGCATAAAGAAAAAAACGCATGTTACATCCACATCCATCAAAGTATATTTTTTACTTTATTTGAATGTGCACAAAACGTTGTATCACCGGGTCAATTATAATTTGTGAATGCTGCCTTTTCTGCGTATTGGATTCATCCAAATAATTATTTATCAATATTTCAAACAAAAACATATTCCTACTGATAAAATCAAATTCATTTTCTATCATCCTCCCACATATTATTTTTTTAATGCCATCTTTCTCTTGCAATTACATTTACCATTACTTCGTTCTCTGTTTTTCTGTACTAACGACAGCTTGTGTTGACACTTTCATAGAGCACAAACAACACCAAGTACTTTTCTCATACTACAGATATTGCAAAATGAACAAGCCTTATTACAGCCAAAATCCAAACTTTCGTCCTTAGAACTCTATTGTTTATTTCTCAAACCCTTTATATTAAACATAATACAAATGAAATATGCCTTTGACAAATATCTACTTTGTAGCTGTCATCCAGCATCATCGCTATATTGTCGCTGGATACCGTTATTTCAAATATGAACAACGTTAGTGAAATCAGATTTTTACTCCTTCTTTGACACATGCATTTAATGTTTAGATATTGAATTCTGCTTAAAACGGTGTTGGGAGGTATACAGTAGCTTGCAGTTTCCAGTACCATCCATGAACAGATTCAATCAAACCGAACCTGAAATCTTTTTTTAATTTTGTCGTTTTCTATTTTACAATAAATGGTAAAATAAATTTATTTTTGATTTTACTAAATACGGATCCTTTGATAAAAGTAAAACGTTGTGAATATCTAAATACGTATATTTGGTATGTAGTGTAAGGTTTACGAAGAGTATTAAGTATGTTTTTCGTAAGTGTTTTGCTTCCATTCGTTTAAATATTTGTTACTATTGCAGATGTGTTTTGAGAGAAAATATCACATTTTTCTCTGGATATTCTAAGACATTGCTCTTGTAATGTGAGATCTTAAGCGTGTTATTTCATCTACCTAATTGTAATAACATTTCTTAAGGCACACGCTCTAATTCAGATGGAATACATCATGTTGTTATTTTTGTCATCAATTTGTATTCAACGAACAATATCTCAATTAACTAATAGCAAAGTCATTATCTCACGGCAGATGAAAAATGATTCCATTTATGGAAAAGTGTTATCAGCAATGCTTTCTTTTACAATTCTATTGATTGAAATCTACGTTAACTAAATCAGTACAAGAAAAGATCCATACTTTCGGATATTCCTTTATAATTATCTTCACATTTAAATTAAACTTCTTCATTCTGAATCAAATAGTTCCATTTAAATTCTTAGTTACTTTGTGAACAGTTAAAATGTTTTACGGGCACACAAAGAAACTATTTTTAGGATAGAGGATAATTTTAATGAGACTATTGTAAATGCTACAGGCACAACTGTTCGTAAACTAAGCGCCTTATCGCCAGAGACACATCCCCTAGACCCATCCTCAATTTTTATTACTGATTTACTTTTCAGTCTGTCTTATGATAAAGACAGTAATTTGTATTTCCTTGCTGTCGTTTTTGGGTCGCTGCGCTTGCGCAAAGCGAGCCAAAGTTATAAGCTACATCTCAGGCTTACTGCGAACCGAATTTCGGCTGAATTATACATGCACGTAGTAAATAGTTCCATATTGTCGGTAACAAGTTAGAAAATCCGTACCTTCATTCATTACAGGAGGGTTATCATACATTTTGAAATGTATTATGATAACGAAAATTACAGTAAATTTGTGCTGTGTACAGAAAAAATATCAATGCGCGATTGAATCACGTGACAGGTCACTGAGGTCAGCCATGCTTCTTCCACAGCTTGATTCGACTTTCGTTATTTGATACAGACATCCAGGATATTTTGAAGAAATTGTAAGTTCTTGAGTAATTTTGACAGTTTACCTCGATTAAATAAGAAAGATTTTATGAAACTGAACCACCCGTGAGATTAATTTTTGAAGATTAATTTGTTTATAAATAAAAATTGTCGGTAACAGGGTAACGATTCGCCACAGTGACGATTCGTCCGAATTTAGTGACGATTCGCCCAACCTAAAATTAACAAAATTTTTTAAAATACATTTGGACTGAAAAATATTTATGGTTTGGGTATTTTTGGAATTTGTTTGGTATATCCTTTATATTTAATAGATAACAGATAAAGGTTTAACAGAACTAAGAGTCCATCATACCTTAGAGCCGACTTGAGATGTTGTGCTGATGCAAGATTTTACAATACTAGATCAAGCAATTTTAATTTTATTGTCCCCCAGTGTAATTCTGTGATGAAACAGACCTTTTATTATAATGGAATTAAAGACTGGAATGATCTGCCAGAATATATAAAATCCATTAATAAAATTTTGTGCAATACAAAAAATCTGTTAAAAAGTACCTACTAGAAAGCTATAAAAGTCTTTCAGAAGATATATATGTGTACAACTAATGTGTTAGGCACTGTGATCAAATATTTCTGTGATAGTAATACTAGGCTTATTTTAAAAAGGGCATACTTTTATAAATATATTTCCTTTTTCAACCTAAATTTTGACCAAAGTTAGTTAGTTTATATTTTTTATCTTGTTTGTTTTTTTAGGGGGGGGAAAGGGTTAAAATTATGTTAGTTTTTTTTATTTCTATGGACCCCATTGGAAATAAGCATTTAGCTTAATGGGCTATCCATAGGTGCATAGTACCTCTTATTTTTTATGACAAAAGTGTGCTCTTTTATGCTGTTTTATGATCTCATTTTATATATATGATTTATTTATGTTATCTCTTAACTGTATGATTTTATATTATGTAACTTGTGCTATGTTCCTAAAATGTATAAATAAAATATAAAAAAAAACAGTATAATAATAAATTATTGAATTAATCTGGATTCTCATTTGTATCAATAATATATTATGATATTTAATATAACTTTCAGAGTTTTAATAAATAAACTAGATAATAGATTGATGTAATAGATAAGTATGATAATATATTGATTTTATTTACTCCTAGATATTCGTTTCTACAAGCAGATTGTCATACATTGTATTTTCTATAGTTCTATTGGCCATGGTATTTGTCGCATGACATTATATAATGACAGATTGGTGAATCAAAAATTATTGTTTATGTTTACAATGCATATCATAGAGGAAAAATAGAATCCCTTAAGAACACCCAAAATGACACAATTGAAAATGTTGCAGGTTCGGTTTGTTTGAGGCTAAACAGTACTGGAAAATGAAAGTTACTGTCCTTGCCCCCTAGCACATACTGGCTTTAAGGCCCATTATGCCCAGAAATGATTTTAATTTATTTCTAAAAAGCCTGTTATTGGTGGCCTGTTATAACTTCCAAAAAGTTACTCAATGGGCAATTATCTGAACCAACTTTTGCCTCAGCTGTTGCTTTTTAGCAATCAGTATAGTTAAAGTGATTTAGTATTTTGTATGGAAGTCAAAAAACTACTTTGTTTACATGCAAACAGTAAGGCCTTACATGTAGTAAGTCTGTCCTAGAGGAGGTGTCTGATTATTCTTTAGGCTTCAGTTCTCACACTGACACTAACTGAGTTCAAATATTTTGCAAATTCAGTTTTTATAGTCTAAATTACTCTAATTATTGAAACAATCTAAACCAAAGTTTTTGAAAAACGCAGAAAAAAATACACAGAATCTTGAAGAACAGTATCCTTTTTGTTCAGTTCCCCCATTCTTTTTTTCATTAAGGGAACACACATTGTATTCTTTGGGAATCATACGCCACTTTTCATGGAATGGCACTAACATGTCACATTGGAGGTTCCATGATCACTGCCATAAAAAATACACCTGCTAATGTTTCTAATTTAAAAAATTTACCATTACATGTTTAAATGTTGAATACTGCTTAACCTAATGCTATTGGGTGTGAACAGTAGCATGCACTTTCCAGTACTATCCATAAACTGGCTCAATCAAACTGAGTCTGCAGCATTTTCAATATTGCTATTTTGGACTTTTTTTTAGAATTTCTGTTTCTCTTTATGTACATAATTACCTAGTATTAAGCTTTAAATGAGCGAATAAAGAGACCACTTAGGACAAACACACATGCAAACAACTGGATTTTATTTATTTTGCTCAAGCCCTGTCACTTAGTCATATTTACCTGTATTTAAAGAAAGATTCTACAACTAGATTTTTTAGAAGGTAATTCCTGATCCAGAAGTGTTCTCCCACAAACAAGTGCGTGGTTCCCCATTCTGCTCTATGCTAGTGCATACAAAAACGGACGATAGTACTTAGACTGTGTATCATATAACACTTTATTTACATGATGATTAGGGGATTTTCTAATAATATGAAAAAATTGTTGATATAAGAAAAATATATATATATGAAATTAAATTGATAACGTCATGGGATTTGACTGATTAATTTCACAAATAATCATTGTATATTATAAACATGAATGATATTGTCTGAATGGTTAAGGTCAACATTTTACTTGCTTCTGATTTGTCCCAATAGTTTGATGCATTGACCTGTTTTGAGTTGGTATATATACATGTACATGATGTAGCTGATTTGACTATTAAGCCAAATGATTTAGATAACTTTAAGTTGGGAATGCTTTATTGTTGATATGAAAATCATATGAATGTTAAATAAGAAATGCATTTATTTCAGGTGTGTGATATAATAAACTGTTGTGTGAGGTTTTAAATGTGACATGGTCAAGACATACTATGATAGTATTGTTCAGTGTAAGAGCTCTGGAAAATTTGAAACACATATTTGACTTAGTAGTCAAATTTAAGAACAACACTACTGTCATGGAAGTATTTCCTGTACAAAAGCAGTATACCAGCTTTTTTTTGCAATAAATGCTGTTGTTTTTTCCTTGTGTCCAGAATGATATGCACATATAATTAGGAAATATACTCAGAAATACATTGAAAATCGTATATTTGTGCTATTCGTATTCTATTTTTTTCCGATACATGTATGAATCAAAAGCTTTGCAATACTGTTCAATTTTGGGACATTTTTCACTATTCGAGTAATTATTCTGGGAAAACAGAGCAAGTGCATGATCTGAATTTTGCATATAAGTTTTTTGCCAAGATCTACATCAAATAGAATGGAATAAGTAATTCAAACTTGACATTGACCTTTAGATGACTGACCATCAAGGTCAAATACTTAATTTTAACTTAGTGTCATATTGTTAGTATTTATTTGTTTTGTGTTCGCGCATATATATAAGAAGATTCCTTGAAAATATTTACCTCATTTTGACTGGAAAAGTACATATATTATAACAACCTTAGCTAAAGGTAGTAATAAGAGTATGAGTCTGAAGTTTACAATATTTATGATTTCTCTTTGGTTACAGAGAGAAACAGTTTTTCTTTTTGTATTTTATTATATTGAAAAATGTATAATTTGCTGTCAAGTTGTGTGTTACTAAATGTGTAGTACATTTTACATTATCTTCTGTTCTTAGTAATTAATCTATAGAGTAAGTGTATAGGTAAAAGAATCTCTGGTAAAAATATTGAAAATCTTAAAAGCACATATAATGTGTCAAAGATAAATAATTTTGTAATTCTTTAGAAAGGTCAAATATGTGTTCAATTATGTTTTAATGATGTATTTAGAGCATTTTAAATGTTTAACAACTGAAAAGAGTAACACTGAACAAACAGTCATGTGTTGTAAAGGTAGCAAAATGTGAGCAAAGTATTATTTTGACTTACATACAAAATACTGAATTAATGTAATTATACCAATTGCCAGATAACTTATCTACATGTACATGGTCAATGAGTACATGTAACTATTTGAGAACTGCAACAAGATATGTAAAAGGAAAGTTTGAAAAAATAAAAATGTTATCTTTTCTAAGGCTTAATGGACCTTTAAAAAGTTATTATTTAATATATATTTAATGCAGATATCATATGTGCAGAAAAAATTGTGGTAAAATGATATAACTTGCTTGTTTAATACTGATTACTTGTGCATGATCTTTAATATATTATAAGACATTAAATTTTGTTTTGCTTTTTTTTAGGTGACTTCTGTCATGTTACTGTTTGATAACAGTGAAGGTACAGTACATGTAGGTTCAGACAAGTTATATACATGTATACAGGACAAGATAGCTCAAACTGGTAGTTTGTTATAGCAAAAAGTGATGAAGTTTCAGCCATGAAGTCTTCATCGTGATGATGATCATCATGATCCTATTTATAGATTCTTTGCAATTATCTGTAAGGAAGAGGTTTCTGCTGCAGAGAAGAAAAAAATTCATACAGGTTTGTCATTTTTTCAATAATAAATTTAGGTCTGTTGTTGATTGCATGTACATTAAAGGTCTTTCCTTATCATAAGGTTCTAAGGTTTGTCATCTTGTGGTAATTACTGATCCCTTAGTAATTAATTACAGTCATCAAACTTTTTAAACATGTTTACTGTAATCACTTGTTGCATGGTGCATATGCCTGAAGCCTAGGATTTTGTGACAAATATCATCATGTTTTACTATTAGATTATGTGGAAAAATGATTAATAAATGAATTATAGTTTAAGGGTTTTTCCAAATTTTCAACTTGCACCGATGTTGTTGTATATCAGGGTTTTACTTTCTAATGTTTGACTGATATCATTGCAGACCTTTACTAATTCAAAATCATGACAAAGTATTTAAAATTAAAATTTTCCTTTCCAGAATTACATTAATTCATTGTAGGACTAGTAATCATACAAAAAAATATATATTACTGTAAACATGTTACACTAGAAAATTAAAAAATTGAAATGTTTGCTCATAGTGAAATGATCCATTCAAAAGTTAAATTTTCAATTATTTTTCTGAAAAACAATAACAGATTATGCCCTGCTTCTAGTTTCTTGTATTTGAACAAATTATGCTGTTTAATTGTTTTACTAAACCTTGCTCCCACTTTGCAGTAAGAAGCTGCCCACTCTGTTCAAATGAAGCTGTCTGAAGTACCAAGTAGAACAATGTATTATTTCTGGAACAACTTAATTGAAGTGAAGCTTACTATGTGAAGGAGTTATTTCTGTATTCAAAAGGAAACTTCAGCATACAGAATACCAATTTAGGTATAGTACACTTTAAATTTTTACTGTTATCCATCTAAAGAAAGCATGAGATACAAAAATAAGCGATAATAATTATTTTCCTGACACCAGAATACACTATGGTTCTGCTTGCAGTTAGAAGTGATGTTCTATTCTTGTACAGCAGCATTAATTGAAACCAATATTTGTCCTATCATTTAATTGAACGAAATTGACAATATTCTTGTTTGTTTTTCAGCAGCATTTGTAAAGTTAATTAAGTCTGTATATCACACCATCCATTGCTTTTGATTTCTTGTGACCAGAAACTAGCATTTTACATAGTGGTGTAAGCTTACTATGATAATTCATGCAAAGATATGATAAAGATATATATATATATAATATATATAAGAAATATGTCTTCGATTTTACTGGTAAATTGTTATGTATGGAGCACATTGTCTTTATGATGTTGAATATATTCAGTGCCAGATAAACAATTACTTGCAACATGACAAATATATTTTATTTTCAGATATTTGTAGCTTCAGTTATGGGAGTACACAAGATTAATTGAACTGGAATCCCTTCAGACGTTGACATAGCTAAATTTCGCAGTTTCAACTATAAATGGACATTAAATTAATATACATTGGTTTTATTTTATACATGTATTTGTTAATATTTTTGTTTTCCATTATTTCCCAATATTGTTAATTTTGGATAATATAATGCCACAGAAAACTTGTCGTCTTGGAGTATGGCTGTTTCACAAAAACACTACAGAGTGTTCGTCAGAACAATGAAATTACAGTTTTGCTTGTTAATGAACTAATTTACATAAATATATAATTTTTGTAAGTATGAAGAAATTTGGAACATATCATATAATGGGTATTTGTTTCTTTTGCATGCAAGATCCAAATATATTTCATAGAGTGAACAGCAGATTTAATATTTTCATGAATGGCATTGAAAAAAACATATACAATGTATAACTTTGGCACAATGTTGGTAAATGGAGGCTGCTATTTTACTGTGACTGAAAGTAGTTCAGATATGACACCTTATTATGTCCGAGGTCTATAGCCCATCATACAAGCCAAAGAGAGCAGATTTTTTTTTCTGTGTAGAATCATTAATTTTCAATGTTCAGATTGAAAGTGATTCTGTCATATTTCCTGAATTTGTTTAATTTCCTTCATGATTTGCAAATATTAATTATCTACTTTTTTATTTATCACATTTTTCTGAGAAATAAATGTATTTCCACAAAATTTCTGTTTGTTTATAGGCTTTTCATCCTCATTCAAATAAGGGTCTGGCTACTTTTGAAATTATACTTTATTGTGAAATAATCTAAAAGTAATGTCATTTTTTACTGAAAGCATGTTATAAGTTATGGTGTTCAATTGATTTCTGCAGGACAACTTATGAAGGAAATGAAGTGAGTTGACATTTGCCATGTTGGTATCAAAAGGCAGATTTAGTTTCAATAAATTATTTTTGATGCTGTTATGCCCCTTTTTAGCTCGACTTTTTCTTTTTAAAAAATAGAGGTATTGTTACAGTCATGGCATTGCCGAGGTCATCCACAAACTTATACTTTGATCATTACTTTTTAGCTCACCTGAGCACAACGTGCTCATGGTGAACTATTGTGATCCCCACCATCAGTTGTCGTGGGTCGTCAAAAATTTCTTTAAACAAATCTCCTCCGAAACCAAAGACTGCACAGTAATAAAACTTTGCAGGAATGACCCTACAGTTAGTGCCCTTAATTACTTTTGTCCAGTGCATAACTTGAAAACTAGTACATGTAGTTTGAATTCAATACAAATTCATACAATGGTCAAGCGAAATGAGAGAAAGTGCAGTGTACAATAACCATTACTCAATCTGCAGTATTTATAGAGTTATTGATCTTTTTCCTTGTCTTTCTGGACTTATTATAGAGTAATTCAATAAAACTTCATCAATGGTCAACCACATTGAAAGGAAATGCAACATACAAGAACCACAACTTACTATCTTTAATTGCCCACCAACATAACTCTATTTCAATTCTTTTACAAGGTATTCTGTTACATCCTAATGTCCAAAGCAGTCTTGTGGGGGTATTAATCACATTTAGTGATAGTTCTAGTTTTAACTAATCATACTTTACTTATTGTTTTGTGAGAATTTCATGAATCTCTCTGGATGAAATTGTGACTTTGATAAGTCATGTATTCACAATCACTGAAAGTTTATCCCTGATGGAACACTTATTACTAGTATGCATAGAAACAAAGATTTTTCAACCATTTTCTTTTCGAGTTGTTTGAACACTATCCAGTCTATATGCACATGGGTTGATGATAACTTGAATATCAGATTGATAATAACTATAATCCCCAAGAATGAGCATGTTTTTCATATGCCTTATAAGTAGATGAAATTATCAATGCTTAGTCATTGTTAATAGAGGACTTGGTTATCTACTTCCAGCTTCTGCTTCTGTCAGTAGTGTACTCTTAAAATTTATCCAATTTAAAGTATTATTTTGAGGATATAAAGCAATTTGGTTTTTCGATCTCAACTGAACCACTTGAGAAAAAGTACTGGTTTTTAGTACTTTTGATAAACCGTGTTGTAATTGTTGGATGTCAATGATAAATCTCCCTGAATAAAATCATTTGGCAAAATATTGCACTTTCCTTTGTACTCAGTCATTTCCACTTGAATATGACTTGACCCTTTAAAAAAAGTTGCAAAAGGACAGGAAATTTGGCCTTTCAAGTGATCACCAGCAATATAATGTCATATAAATTTGTCAGCGCAAGCGACCCTCCAGTGCTTTCAGTGCTTTGATTCTTTATACAAGTTGATTTTGATATAGAATACTGAGTCATTAGAGGTATTAACCGGGCTAAAATCACCAAAAAGCGTATTACTGGCCTAGACCTATGAAGGCTATTCGTTGCCAAAAATCCAGCCTTTTTTATCTGAGTTGAACAGTTTGTGTACGGACAAAATACAATTGTATTTCTTTGTATGTAAACTCCAATTTTGCATTCTTGGATTGAGTTTGCCGATTTAACATTGTAAACATGTATTTTAACAAAATACATTTTGTTAAGCGACAAAACATTAACTGTTTATTTGATTGTAGCAATACCAAGTGTTCAACATGCGGAATACTCATTGTTCGTGTATACGCCGACAAAACAGAAGTTGCTTTCTTAGCTTTACATTGTCAAACAATCATGATTCGGATCAGCATAATCCAGCTTTACACGTTCTTAATAGGTCGCAAATTTGAAGTTATACATTTCTAAATACAGTTTGCAATTTATCTAAGTTGCAGGTTAACAGCTTCCATTTTTCAAATCGAGATAATTAAAACGCTTAATACCAGTGCAGTATGTAAGTATCTGATCGACAATTAAATTTTGACTAATTTGTTTAGTAGAACCGAAGTATGCATTGCCAAATTTTTGGCAACGATTGGCCTCCATATAAACTATCTAAGAAACAGCATAGTCTAATCGCCAGGTCATGTATTAATTTCTCTTTTAAACTTGTTAATTATTTTCAATCCATTTGTAGATAAATTGTAGGTTTTCAATAGTCATAGCAGTAAGTATTCCTACACTTTATTCTTACTTGACACACTCACAAATGAGCCGCGTCACGACAAAACCAACGTAATGCGTTTGCGACCAGCATTGATCCAGACCAGCCTGCGCAGCCGCGCAGTCTGATCAGGATCCATGCTGTTCGCTTACAAACCATATTATAAGTAAAGAAACTGATAGCGAACAGAATGGATCCTGATCAGACTGCGCGGATGCGCAGGCTGACCTTGATCCATGCTGGTCGCAAACGCATAACGTTGGTTTTGTCGTGACGCATCTCAAATATATTCCTGAAACCAAGCAGTGGAAAGCAAAGTTTCTTGTCGAAGAAAAACAATTGGCTTGCCCTTTGACGGGATTTGAACCCACGTGGCTAGAGGTACTTAGATTACTAGTCCGACGCTTGAACCACTCCGGAAGAAAGTAACAATTTTATTTCCCTCTCTTTTTTTACCATAGTCTATACGCATAAAGAAAACAACTATTCTTTCCTTGAAAATGCTTTTGATATCAGACTACCGTAAAATAATGTACCGATTCGATAACTCATATCTGCAAGTGACAGACATTATTTCTTACATGATACATTTTATTGAAAAAATGTCCAAAATGTGAAACATAACTATAATTTTGTACACATGTAGCAGGAAATTATAACTTTGTATATTTAAAGTAAAGATTTTAGGCAATATCAAATTGGCATTAAAGGTCAGTTATTCTATTTTGTAGAGCAATTTCATTAAATTGTTATCTTCCATTGTATAAAACCAAATCACTTGATTGCAGCTCTTAAGTATTCTAGATCCGAATGAATATGAAATAAATAAATTTGATATTTTTACTTAACGCAAAGTTAACAAAAATGAGTATAAAGCAAACTGCATCTTACAGCCAATGGCATTTATTATGGTTATTATAGCATTAGAATATTTATAGGACATAATGTTATGCCACTTGGTCAGTTAGTTAGGATTCAAGTGAAGGAAAGATTTTATGCTCAAATTCATTGAATTCATTTTGCAGTGCAAATTGTGAAATAAACAAAAACTTTTTAATTAACAAATCTAGCAAAATATTAAGTCTTAAATTTATTTAATTAGTAAAACCGACAATTTTAAAGATATTTGTTTTCTTCAGATTTTTGTTATGCGTGCATAAAAATTGCAAATAATAATTTTATAAAAGGGGGTCTGGAGGTAACTTTGCTGTATTAATTTTTTCTAAGATATTGTATGCTTCGAAAATTGTCGTTTCTAAAATTAAACTGGATATAACAACAGTCACCCGTTGATTCTAATGGAATTTCAGATCTACTTTGCCCTCATCAAATTGTTATGTATATTTATGCAAGTTTTTATTAACAAAAAAGCTCGATGTTTCGGCTTTTGTTAGGATTGTTCATTTGCAAAATGCCTATTTAAAAGTAAAAAAAAAAAAAAACAGCACATAATTCAAAATCTTTTATTTATAATGAAAAAACATTCTTTTGTGAATCTTTACCTCTTAAGATCTATTAAAATTACCGAATTGTCTATCGACCATGTTCATTTATAAGATATATAGGGTGATAAAACATACATGTACCATCATATTTTGATTGATTGTATCCGTAAGCATCATCTTTTTTATTATAATATACAAACATTATGATGTTATTATGAACTTGTCTATTATGGGAGGCCGATAATTCCACTTACGAACTTTGTTGATATATGTAATATTAATAATTATAAATAATGAAAAACACAAAATATTTATGTGTTAGTAAGTGTGAGATATATGATCTTATACAACATATAAGGGGCGTCTCGTGGCCGAGTGGTTAAGGTCGTAGACTTCAAACCACTTGCGCGACCTCACCGCTGTGGGTTCGAATCCCGACAGGGACTTTGGATTCTTTCATTGTGAGGAAGCTATCCCAGCTAGCTTACGGAACGTCGGTGGGTTCTACTCAGGTTCCCGTTCGTGCCTGAAATAATGTACGGAAATGGCACTTGAGGCCTGTTTCTCCACCAGTAAAGCTGGAACGTCGCAATAGATCT